TGGCAGAGTATGTGAGGGTCGTGCAGGACACGTATGAGGACAGCAAGACAGTGGTGAGGTGTGTGGTTGGAGTAACAGATAGGTGTAAGGTGGGGGTGGGATAACATGGCTCTGCTCTGAGTCCCTTCTTGTTTGCTACGGTGATGGACAAGTTGACAGATGAGGTCAGGAAAGAGTCTCCATGGACTTTGATGTTTGCAGATGACACTGTGGTCTGTAATTAGAGTAGGGCACAGGTGGAAAAGGGTGGAGGTATGCACCTACGAAGAGGAATGAAATAGGGCTGGGCAAAACAATTATTTTCCTAATTGATGAATCTAGCGAATAATTTTTCAGTCCAATTCTATTTTGATTTGATTATCGATTATCTCCCCATTATTTGACTTGTATAGCAATTTCACATTTACTAACTTATGTATCTCAATGAAAAACACAAATTTCTTCATTTGAATACCTTTTAATAAAAACATTGCAAAATAAAGTTGTAGTAGTAGTACAATCTTATATTAGAGATAGCATTTAACAAGAAATGAAATGTGCAAACATATATAAAATTAGAAAAATTAAAAGCATCCATCCATCTTCATCCGCTTTATCCGAGGCCAGGTCGCGGGGGCAGCAGCCTAAGCAGAGGCCCAGACCTCCCTCTCCCCAGCCACCTCCTCCAGCTTATCCGGGGGAATACCAAGGCATTCCCAGGCCAGCCGAGAGATATAATCTCTCCAGCGCGAACCAAGCTCTTGCAACGGTTGTATAGGGATCGAATGGCCCGTAGCAATGGGCCAGACACCCCATACTCCCGCAACACCTCCCACAGGACACCCCGAGGGACACGGTCGAATGCCTTCTCCAAGTCCACAAAACACATGTAGACTGGTTGGGCAAACTCCCATGCACCCTCAAGTATCCTCGAGAGGATAAAGAGCTGGTCCAGTGTTCCGCGACCAGGACGAAAACCGCATTGTTCCTCCTGTATCCGAGGTTCGACTAGCGGATGAACTCTTCTTTCCAGCACCCTGGCATAGACTTTCCCAGGGAGGCTGAGGAGTGTGATCCCCCTGTAGTTGGAACAAACCCTCCGGTCCCCCTTCTTAAAGATGGGGACCACCACCCCGGTCTGCCAGTCCACAGGTACTGCCCCTGATCTCCACGCAACATTGCAGAGGCGTGTCAACCAGGACAGCCCTACAACGTCCAGAGCCTTCAGGAACTCGGGGCGGACCTCATCAACACCAGGGGCTCTGCCACCAAGGAGTTGTTTAACTGCCTCAGTGACCTCGTCCCCGGAAATTGGCGGGTCATTCCCCTCATCCCCAGACTCTGCTTCCTCCTCGGAAGACGTGTCAGTGGGATTAAGGATGTCCTCGAAGTATTCCTTCCACCGCCTGACAATTTTCTCAGTCGACGTCAGCAGCGCTCTGCCAGCACTATACAATGTGCAGGTAGAGCACCGCTTTCCCCTCCTGAGACGCCTGACGGTTTGCCAGAATCTCTTCGAGGCAGTCCGAAAGTCTTTTTCCATGGCCTCTCCAAACTCCTCCCACACCCGAGTTTTTGCTTCAGCCACTGCCCGAGCCGCATTCCGCTTGGCCTGTCGATACCTGTCGGCTGCCTCCGGAGTCCCACAGGCTAACCAAGCCCGATAGGACTCCTTCTTCAGCCTGGTGGCTCCCTTCACCTCTGGTGTCCACCATTTGGTTTGGGGATTACCACCACGGCAGGCACCAACCACCTTGCGGCCGCAGCTCAATGCAGCAGCTTCGGCAATGGAGTGGCTGAACATGGTCCATTCGGACTCAATGTCCCCAGTCTCCCTCGGAATGCTGTTGAAGCTCTGCCGGAGGTGCGCGTTGAAGATCTCTCGGACTGGGGCCTCTGCTAGACGTTCCCAGCACACCCTCACTACGCGTTTAGGTGCACCAGGTCTGTCCAGCGTCCTCCCCCGCCACCTGATCCAACTCACCACCAGGTGGTGATCAGTTGACAGCTCAGCCCCTCTCTTTACCCGAGTGTCCAGAACATATGGTCGCAGGTCTGGTGATACGATTACAAAATCGATCATCGACCTACGGCCTAGAGTGTCCTGGTGCCACGTGCACTTATGGACACTTTTATGTTCGAACAGGGTGTTCGTTATGGCCAAATTGTGATTAGCACAGAAGTCCAATAACAAAGCACCGCTCGGGTTCAGATCAGGGAGGCCGTTCCTCCCAATCACGCCCCTCCAGGTCTCGCTGTCGTTACCCACGTGAGCATTGAAGTCTCCCAGCAGGACAACAGAGTCTCCACCTTCCACCTTCCTGCACCCCCCCCCCCCCCCCCCCCCCCCCCCCCCAGGGACTCTAAGAAGGCTGGGTACTCCGAACTGCCACTCGGCGCATAAGCGCAGATGACAGTCAGGACCCATTCCCCGACCCTAGGGCGCAGGGAACAAACCCTCTCGTCCACCGGGAAAAACCCCAACGTACCGGCAGCAAGCCGAGGAGATATTAGAATATCCACCCCAGCCCGCCGCCTCTCACCAGGGGCAACTCCAGACTGAGACAGAGTCCAGCCCCTCTCCAGGAGACTGGTTCCAGAGCCCGAGCCATGCATAGAGGTGAGCCCGACTATTTCTAGCCGGTACCTCTCAACCTCACGCACTAACTCAGGCTCCTTCCCCACCAGAGAGGTGACATTCCATGTCCCTATTGCCAGTCCGCCAGGGCCTCCGCTCCTGGCCGCCACCCGGCACACAATGCACCCAACCCCTATGGCGCCTCCTGCGGGTGGTGGGCCTGCGGGAGGATGGGCCCATGTCTCCTGTTCGGGCTGTGCTCCTCTTCGGGCTGTGCCCGGCTGGGCCCCATGGACTAAGGCCCGGCCACCAGACGCTCGCCCTCGGGTACCCTCCCCGGGCCTGGCTCCAGGGCGGGGCCCCGGTAACCCTATCCCGGACAGGGTAAACTGTTCCCTCGATATTCTTTTCATAAGGGTCTTCTGAATCGCTCTTTGTCTGGTCCCTCACCCAGGACCAATTTGCCATGGGAGACCCTACCAGGGGGCAAAAGTCCCCAGACAACATAGCCCCTGGGATCCCTGGGACACACAAACCCCTCCACCACGATAAGGTAGCGATTCAAGGAGGAGCAAAACATTTAAAATAATTAGCAGCAATGGTGTCTTTAAACAAACAAAATGTAACATTCACTTTGCTTTCTGAAAAAAAGTGCTCTTCATTCACAAACAAAATCCATTTTGTTGCAGTTTTTCACGTTTGTTTCGTGTTGCCGCTACTCGCTGCCGCCATGTCTGTTTTGAAAGTGACAACGCATCGACGCACATTTATTTACGTCGACGTATTTTACGTGTCGACGTAATCGATTACATTGACGCGTCGTCCCAGCCCTAGAATGAAAGTCAATAGAAGGAAAGAGCAAGAAAGAATATATGTGTGTGAATGGGAAAGAGACGAGTGGAAATGTGCACATGCAAAAAATAAAGTCAAGGCAAATGAGTGTCAATACTTGGGGTCAACCGTCCAAAGCAACTGACAAGAGAGGTGAAGAAGGTTGCTAGGCAGGATGGAGTAGGTAGAGAGGTTATTTGGGGTTATTTTGGGGTTGAGAGTGAAAGTGAAGTTTTACAAGATGGTAGAGAGACACGTAATCATTTATGGTTTTGGGACAGTGGCACTAATAGAGTTGAAAACTTAGTATATCAGACCGAGATGGGTTGTACATGTGCAGAGAAGGGAAAGTGGATATAATGAACAAAAATGTTGCATATGGAGCTGCCAGGTAGGACAAGAAGAGCAAGGCTTCAAAGCAGGCTGCTGGTTGTAGAGGATATGCAGAGGGCTGGTGTGACAGAGAGGATGGTAGGGATAGGATGATGGAGGAAGATGAGCTGCTGTGTTGACCCCTAAAGGGAGCAGCCAGAAAAAGAAGAGTCATGCCGTTTCACATTACAACCCACAAAAGTGAGACAGAACAGTTGAGACTGAAAGTATCGGCATATAAGCCATGTTACCCCATCACTCAACAAAATGTTTATTTATTAAAGCTATGGTGAGAAGATATCACAGCTCAGATAATCTGACACAGACGTCACACAACAAATTCAGTTTCTTTCTTCTCTTTTTTTCATACTGTCCTTTACTCCTCTCACTATTGCTTTTTACTCAGTATACATGCAACCCCAATTCCAAAAAATCAGGACAGTGGGAAACATAAATCGAGATGTGTTGTTACCATCAAATTTACAATGAGCAAGTACTTTTCACGAAATAGTAAAATGCCACAGTTGAAAAATCTGATACGTTTTGTGTATTTATGAAATTTGCTGATTTTTACGTTCTGTTTTTATTCAACCATCCAAACGTTTCCTGAGTTGGGTTTGCAGATAGTCTTCTCTCTTTGCTCCCTCTTTTGGTGTCTTTCTGTTTTGTCCATTTGTAAATTTTCCCTTAGAGAAAATATCACGTTTTACTTGGTTGGCTGAGGTGCAAAAGGTGACTTGTACAGCTCTAAAAAGAGGAAGTAACTGCTGAAAACAAATAAAGGTTCTATTAAGTAGTCACACCGGAGCATTCTGCTTGTTTATTCTAGTGAAAAATGAATACAACAGCTATGTTTTAGGTTCCCACATCCTTGCAGATGTATTATGCCCAACCTGAAAATATAAATTGTTTGTTTTTTTGTTCGAGTCACAGCTCAGTCCCCTGAACTCTCATTTATCCCTCCACCTGTGCTCACTATTAGACACCACACATTCATCCAATGAATTCTGTCATTACCCCTAATGAGAACAGATGTTTAATTTAAGTGTCCTAGCATTCTGTTCACCAATTAGGGATAAGTTACTTAACACCTTTACTTCATAACATGTCACTTAAAGGAGGAATGATTGTTTTTTTAAGTGTCTACATATGGTACAGGGCAGAATGTCTGTACTTGGTGTAAATGTTGCTAATATCTCTGCCCGTCTCACTTCCATCTATGGCTCTCTCTCTCTAACAGATAGTAGCCAGCCTTCCCTTTCCCAGCCCTCTTTGACCCTGCAGAGTTTTCCCTATGGAGGATGCGAGTCGGTGGAGATCTCCTACCAGAGTGGTATGTGGACTGTTTTAAATAGTCCCTCAGTTAGGTGGTCCCTTTCTTTGTTTGGAGGTATAACATTGACATATCAGGTAAATACAGAAAAAAAATGTTTTCACAGCCACCTACATATTTGACAATTTGTAAAACGTACTATATATCTCAGATTTGAAAAAGAAAAAAGGAGGAAAAAACATTGCAGTCATGTAGTCGTCTAGGAGTTAAAGAGTTCTGTGTGTTCTGTTTAGTTTTTTTGAGTAAGTTTTTGTTCATTGAGCAAATTTAGGGTAATTTAGAGAATGGATCGGAATTTCTCAGAATCAGAATGAATGAACTTCATAAAGAGGGAAATGCAATTTGGTAGAACAAGTTTCAGGATCCTTGCATTAATCCATTCATCCACCCACCCACTCACCTTCCCACGTACTTGTTATTCATCTTTGTGTTTATGCACTCATTTTTCTCTCTCTCTGTAAAACGTTTCTGTTCCTGCAGGTCAGTTCCAAGCAGGCCAGTTTCAACCAGCTATTCGAGTAGCAGACCTCCTCCAACACATCACCCAGATGAAATGTGGCCAAGGCTATGGTTTTAAGGAGGAATATGAGGTGAACACACATACGCACAGGAACTTACTGAGAGTGACAGTAATGCTTCTAGTAGTAATAATGTCAAAGGTCATAGCTATAGCTTAGCAGTAGCAGTTTAGCAGTAAATTGGAAATATGAGTGGCCTCATTTGCAAAAGTAGTCTGAAATGTTCTCTCACTGTTGTTGCTGCCAAGTTGTGTGACAACTGTGTGTTGGTCTTTTTTTGTTCCTGAATAAGAGTGTGAGATTGAATTTAGTTTAATGCAAAGGCAAGTTATCAATTATTAACTCTTCATCTCATCAATATTTGAAAATTGAACAAGCAGACGCTGTAGTAAACTTTTTTCTTTGCATTTGCTGCTGCTTTTCTTTTTAATTAGTTTTTTCTGTTTTTTTTACTTAGCGAAAACCAATGCCTAATCTTTTCTCTTACATTTTCAGCAAGTTTTTCTTTAGTTTTCTTTTACTCAAACTATCAGTCTTTCCTTTATTGCTCTGCTTTGAAATACCATCCATGCTTTAATTTTTAGCATTTTCTTTCACTTCTGTTCCTCACTTTTTGCCATCAATTCTCTTTTAATGACATTCTGTTGTGCGGTCTCTTCATACACGAGTGGAGCATTATCTGTCTGTCTCTGCCGACTGTTTGTTTAGAGCACAGTTTATCACATATAGACATTTTCATAATCATTCTTTGTCACTGGCGCTCTGCCATACCCTCATTTTACTCCCAAATCCAGATTCTCAGATTTCATTCATTTATTCCACTACCAATCTATTCTTCCTTACTGTCTTTATTTTATTTTCCCTTCATTTGCCTCATCTCTGTCACTAGAAATAAATCTTTGAAAAGGCATGAGAGAGACTCTATTTTTCCTCTATCTCCTTCAACCTCCCACTCTCATAAGAATGAATATTTTCTATTACTGACTCTGCTTGCGTGTTGAAAATTGTCCCTCCGTGATACCGTACGTTATATTTTCATTTGCTTCCTGTCATTTTGGTTTAAACCCACTGATACGTTTCAGGGGAGAGCAAATGTGATTTATTGTTGAATGTGTGTATGCCTCTGTGTGTGTGCATTAGAGCGAGAGAGAGGGAGAGAGAGAAAAAGAGCTGATAGCTACCAGGTCTATCTATTTAATCTCAGAGATTAAAAGGAGACACTAGACAGCATAGAGGGCCCTAGGGCTGCTCGATTATGGCAAAAATGATAATCACGATTATTTTCACTGAAATTGAGATCACGATTATTTGACGATATTTATTTAACCCTTTAAGACCTACCATAGAACCAAGTCCACCAGAGCTTATATTATTATTTTTTTTACATGTTGTAGTGCCATTTGTGGGAGCATTTCAAGTTGCTATACATCAATACAACTGTTATAGCCCATATTTTAATAATATGTATGCATTAAGTCCATAGTAATTACATAAATTGCAAAAAAGTGCAATAAACTACAAAAAAAATTGAAAATCGCTTTTGTTTTGTTTACATATATTTCTACTTGGAGAAATTTAAGAGGTTTATCCCTCAAAACTTTAAATACAATAAAGTTGCAAAAAAATAGTTTCCCACCACAGGAAATTTATTTTGAGTGTCTTCATAGTTTTATTTTGGAGATACAGCAATTTTTATATACTGCAGGAAAAACAAAAAACAATCCTATGATGCAAATTTGCAAAGAAAACAGCATGTGCATCATTTCACTGTGGGAAGTGTTACGAACAGCTGATAGGAACGGCAAAGCGTGTTTCTGGAATATTATGTTTTTGTTCCTGCAAGCGCTTTTTATGCAATTTTTGCAAAGCTATATGTGGAACGAAACCGTGACCGAGGACAAGCTGATGGCATCAGATGTAAGTACAACTCCTCCGGTTTCATATGCAAAACAAATTATTGCGCTAGCTTACACGGTTCAGATTCTACAGGGATTTAAAAATAGTTACGCAAAACGGAGCGTGCTGCTCTGACCGGCTTTAAAGGGTTAACAATAACTTTAAAAAAATAATATAAAATAGTGTGCAACACCACTGAAGTTTTTTTTTTTTTTTTAAACTCTCTTTTCAACCAACAGCAGTCACTCTCCAAATAACTTCTGCTTAGCTTTCCGAGCTTCCCTCGGGTCCTCTTAATCAGCGGTCTCCAACCTTTTTTGCGCCACGGACCGGTTTATGCCCGACAATATTTTCACAGACGGCCTTTAAGGTGTCGCGGATAAATGAGGGAGGGGCTAATAATTGGCTCAGTCATTTTTAATGATCGTTGAAAGCCCAGATCGTAATCGTGATTAAAATTCGATTAATTGAGCAGCCCTAGAGGGCCCCACCTCTAACTTTTTCAGTCATTTCATCAGATTTTGAGGTAGTTTTAAAAGACAATGTACCATTTAATGTATGTTTCATGTTATTTAAATGTCACAACAACTTTAGTCCTGTCAATCCTATGGTTAATCAAAACTTATATATAAGTAACGTCAACACCCTCTTCTATCATTCCCTGTCCTTTCACCCGCAACCGTATAGTGTCTATAGCAAATTGAGTTTTCTAGAGGAAGCTACTAAACCCAGACAATTTCTCTCCAGCTGTCTCCAGTATTTTGGGTGTGCGTGTGTTTGTGTGTGTGTCCGTGTACGCGTGTGTCTTCATCTGTCACCGCAACCCATATGGAGCTTTCCTGTCCTTGTCTCTGCATGCGGTGTGACCTCCATTGTTGAAACCCATTAACCCCACTAACACCAACAGAAGCCACACTGTCAACATTTAGCTCCTCACTGGGATTACACCTTTTACTTCTAAAGTAATATTCCACATTGTTTGACACCTCATAGGGTGGACGAGTTAAGTAGCCATTATATCATTACCCTTCATGTGATGCAGTCCAAAAATATATAGTGCCCCTATTTCGGTGGAGAGTTTTTGGATGATGCAGATCAAAAGTGTAAATAGTTAATTCCACCGTAATTATATTGTAAATGGAATATTTTATTTAATTGAACTCTTACTGCAGAAAAACCTAAAGCACCCACTCAGCAGTGCAAAGAGACTGTGTGTGTGGTCCACCCACTCAGTGATTTTATACAAAATGCTAATAATCCCAATCAGCAATATAATTCAAATAAGAAGAGTCTGATTAAAACTGTGTTATGTTTTCAGGTCAAGAAAATACAGCCAACCCACACCTCATGCAAATGTTCTCTCTCTCTTACACAGGCACACACGCACAATCTCACTCTCTTGCTCTCACATGGTATCACACATGGAGCTTCTAACTAACATTAGGACGACACAATTTTCTGTCTTTTTGGTAAATAAACATGAACTATGCAACAGTGGAAAGTCCTACTTACAGTCCACACACACACGCATTCTCACACGCATGCACAGACACACATATTGGACTCAGACGCATATGCCACTTGAAACAATCCATTTTCTGCTTGACTGAGCAACAAGTTTAGGTGTTTGTCTTTCTGTCACAATGTGTTTGTATTGTCTAGTTTGTGTGTGTGTGTGTGTGTGTATGTGCATGTCTGTGTATATAGGTCATAACGCTGTTCAAAAGTGAATGCTGTTGTCTGTTCTTAAGCTGTTAATGGACTAAAAAAGGACTGTCCTCTTGTCCCTGTAGTGAGAATGTGTGTTTGTGTGCCCATATGAATGAGCAGTACTAAAATAGTTCAGTGTCCATATGGCAGCCTTTGGGAGTTGGGGTTTGGTTGCTTAATGCAAACTTGAGAGTGATCTTATACATGTGCACGCACAGACACAGGCACACACACACACATTTTCAATAAATCATAGTACACATTCACACATACAAATATTTCAACGAATCTGTGCATAGACAAATGAGTAATGAGAATGCACAAATGCAATGACAAGCACACCCACACACACATGCACATTTTGTCCTTGCCATGTTTGTAAGGTTTGTCACATAGGCCAGTATCACAGCAGGGAGTAAGAACAATCTGTCTTCTCTCCTCCAGCAAAGGGCTGAAAGGATAATGTCTTTCAGACCAAAGCAGCAGAACAATGAACTCAAAGTTTTTGTCTTTTTCAGCTTTTCTTCTATTTACCTGTGCATTTTGATTTCAAATATTTAAAAAAAAAATCCAAAAACAAATAAAAAAAACATCTTCCCTCTTCTGTAAAGTTGAAGCTTGCTGGTAGTTGCCTTTTTTAATTCAGTGTAGGAATTTAAGCAGATTACCCCTGCCAGTAAAGCTGGAATGAGGTTATGTTTTCAATCCTGTCTGTTGGTCTGTTGATTAGATATCTCATATTTAGCTGAAATTTGGCAGAACAGTTACCTGGCTAAAGTAGTGATCCAGTTGGGATGGATAAATCTGGTATTATGCCATTAGAAAATATCTAACCAGAAGTTCTGTGGAAAGTCTAACTTTTTACATCCAGGTTGACAAATAATAATCACTGCCTTTATCCTTTTTTTCTGTGAGAGTGTAGTTATGTTTAAGCCACGGACTGTTGATTGTCTTTTCATTCATATTCATATTCATTTTACTGTTTCAACTTCTGCCAGCCCATGTGTCAGTATACAAGCTCTAGGCATCAGACCATATGTGCTTGCATATTTCTGTGTGTTCATACTCGAATATGAAACTATTTGTGTGTGTGTGTGTGTGTGTGTGTGTGTGTGTGTGTGTGTGTCTGTCTGTCTGTCTGTCTGTCTGTCTGTCTGTCTGTCTGTCTGTCTGCACATGCATGTGGACATGTGTATGTTTAGGCCCTGGCAGAGGGACAGACAGCACCCTGGGAAACAGCCAAGAAGGATGAGAACCGCAACAAGAATCGCTATGGCAACATCATCGCTTGTGAGTACTGCAATGACAGGAATGAATACTCCTGCAGTACTTTTTGCTGAATGTGGCTGTGTTACGCATTTAGTAAAGTTTGAACTGTAATCTGGCCTTGTGAGGTTTAGTGTGGTTTATTTTAGTCTTTATTTGATACTGCTTATTTTAATTTATTTATTTTAGCCATTTTTACCTTGGTGTTTGTTTTGACTGACTAATTTGGTTTGAATATTGGCTTAAATATGTAACCGTCTCTTCAGTTGGATTTTTCTACAGTACAAATATGTTTCTCCGTTAACTGTCCAGCCTGAAGCTTCACATTAGTTTGGTGTGCTGTGTTTCATTTGTAACCACAGGATTTCATTTATGAACCATTTGGTAAAATACAAATATCAAGCATTCAACCTTGCGGCTCCACCTCACACACCTTGCTCACACTCATACACGTGTCCTCCAGTGCATTTCAGAGCAGATCTCTGCTACTTGCGCACTTGTAAAGTGTATAATAATAATAATAATAATAATAATAATAATAATAATAATAATCATCATCATCATCATAATCATCATCATCATCATAATCATAATCATAATAAATTCTGCATGATGGCATTTTGGTTTCGATTTGTTTAATAAGCAAGCATATGTCTTGCTTTTTTTTTTGCATTCCATCAATTTTTCTCTCTGCTCGCCCACCAGAACCCTCTCTGTGGTATAAGAGCACCTGATTTATAAATTAAGCCCTGAGTAATAATATGAATTCTATGAAATCAGATTAAAAAAAGTACACACTGCTGTACACACAGCACCACAGTGACTTGTGACAGAGAGTTTTACAATACCAATTACAATACCAGTAAATATAAATACATGGTGATGAAGGAGACTATTGTTAATATTTATATTTCCCAGAACTTCATAAGTCATATTTTCAGGGGTAACTTGCAGAGGAGCCAGATTTCTATGGGCCCCCTGTAGTTCCCACTTTGGGAAGTGGTCTCCTGTGATCGCTTTTGGATTGGCTCATATGCACGGATTAAACAAAAATAGAAACAAAACATCTGAACAAATAGTTGTCTCTGTGAAACTAATTGCATTGAGTGTGCTTGATGTATTAAAGCATTGCCACAAAATTCTCTTCCCTCTATGGCTGCTGTGAGGTTCTGTTTGTAGCTGAAATGCATCATCATCAAAACTGTTTGAATAACATCAATAGCAAGTTTTCATTATATTTAAAATTATTAGGAAGACAAACAGGTACAAAAATATGCTGCAGCATGAAGGAGGACACCCTCCTTTAGCTGCAGAACTCAAGTCCATATTTATGGGGCTCCATATGCCCTTAAAGTGTCCTTTACCTTTTTTGAAATTCAATTCAGTTTTATTTTCATTGTGCCAACTCACAACAACAGTCATCTCACGGAGCTTTATATTGTAAAGACGCTACAATAATATAAAGAAACCTCAACAATCAGACAATCAGACCTATGAACAAGTATTCCTCACTCCACCAAACTTTGTCATCCATTCCATCGATGACATACCCATGGATGATAATGGATGGAATTATCTGGTGACTTGGTTTTGAACTGGGCTTTGAAAGATGTCCACTTGGGTCAACACACTGACCAGACCACTTTTAAGAAATGCTACTTATGATACGCTACTGCAATTATACTGAAACATTGATCTCTGACAGCAGAACCATTTAAATTAATGGGGGAATGAAGACAAAAACAAAAAACTCAAGACTGCATGTTAATATAGGACTTCAACTTTATTTTATTTTTTTTTTTTTTCAGCATCTGCTTCGCCAAAAAAAAAAAAAGACTTGGAAAAAAAAGATGGTTTTTTTGTGTAAACCAATATCAGATTTATCAGTCACATACTTAGAGTTTCTCTGGTCAGGCAGAACAATCTTCTTGGATTCTTAGCATGTCTTTTTTAAACTCAACATTTATGATAGCTTTTTTATTTTTTATTATATTTTTTTGGTCACCTTTGTCAGTGTCTGGATGCGACATAGCTTGATTATAAATGAAAGCGCTTGCTAGCCTTGCAACATTTATGCCTTTCTAACACTATTAAGATCAATCTCTTGGAAGAAGGCAGTGTTGCACTGGCACTTTCACCATTTTAAAATATATGATATTGTAAGCATGTCCCTTATTTTACTTGTGTCATTTTGTTTTGTTCAGAATTTCCAAATAACACAACATGAAACCATTGCAAGTGCTGCTATCTTGTTATCATTGCAATAATAAAGCGAAAGGATAATAAACTCACTATTGGTGCTTTTCTTTTGTTGGATGCTCTTGCTCATGTATGCTAAATTATTGGGGAAAGGCTTATAATCTTTAAAAGAAAAAAAATTAATTTAGAATTTTGATTTTAAGTTTATGCAGAAAGAAAACCATCTTTTGGCATATCGCCAGCCCCCCCCCCCCCCCCCCTTTTTTTTTTTTTCTTTAATAACACAATATCAAAGTCGACTAAAACTCATATCCCCGTCTTTGGTAAGTCTGATACACATGTAAAAAATAATTCTGAATTTGCAGAGGGATTTATTTCAATCCTTGATGATCAAAGCCACCAGCCCCTATTTTATTCAGAGAGAAGGGTTTTTTTTCTTAACATTTATTTTGGAGCGTAGACAGAGTGCTGTAATGATATTCAGATTGGGGACCATACGATATGTAACGTAAATGTGATTGTGTTTGGTCATTAGAGTTAGCATGTGAATGTGTGTGCATGAATGATGTTTGTCTGATTGGATGTTCTGTAGAGGAGTGTTTGTGTGCTTGCTGGTTAAATTGTACATTGCAACCTCAGACCTCTATTAGGTTTGAACAAGAGAAGCATATTGTTTGGCTAAAGTTTTAATAAGCTCCTTATGGGTGTGTATCTACATGTTTTAGCATGTGTGGCTTTGCCTTACCCACATGGCCAGTATGATCCAGAAGATTATTTTTGAAAATCTAAGTGTGTGTGTGTGTGTGTGTGTGTGTGTGTGTGTGTGTGTGTGTGTGTGTGTGTGTGTGTGTGTGTGTGTGTTGGCCACTCAGATCAGTGTGCACGTACATATCTCATTACAGGGGTTTAGATGTCAAGGCAAAGACACTGTTGTAACCTGAAGGCTTTAAAATGAAACACTGTGCTGAAATGAAATAGCCTGTCAAGGACTTGATAGCCAACAGGAATTATGATAAATTTGCTATTAGTATAAATCCTTTAATTACAAGGACCTAGTAATGGAAACTGTCCATCTTGCTTTCTGTGATTATACAAAGGCTCATTTTCTTGGGAAAATGTTTCAAAAGGCCGTAGGGGAAATGACTTTTTTCTGTATCTTTATGAGAACAAGGAATGTGTTGAGAGACAGAATAACTGGCTAACGATCAAACTTTAAAAACGAGTAAAAGGTTCTTCCATCATTTTAAACTTTGACTTGCCTTCTGAAACCAATTATTTGCATTTTGCTTTGAAGCTCACAAGTTTAACAAAGTTCATAAACACATATAGTTCTGCTTGTTGGACTTTGATTAAATTTGAATCCATTCAAGCTTAAACATAGTTTATATTACACATGATGCTGAGACCACAAGACAGCTTTTTAGCACAGTTGTGCAGCGCTGCATCCCATTCACCACTCCAAACTCAATCAGCAATCAGTTTTCAGTGAAGCCCTATAAGTGGCAGCAGGAAGGGGTTTATGTTAAGACTCACCAAATTAGGAGTTCAAGTGACATCTATGTTTATCAGTTAACATCTGATCTCATTGTCTCAGAGGTCGTTTCGGTGTCATCACGGTGACAGCATCTCTAACCCAAACAAATGCCCATTGAACCTTCACAGATCACTGTGAATGGAGCCTAAGTTTGTGGTCTGGCTTTGTGAGATTTAAGCCAACATTCTAGTTCTAAGCTTTTAAATCTCTTCTGAGGCAGCTGTGATAATTGTTCCATCCTTGTGAGGACGTTTCCTTATGTGTGACTTCTCAGCAGCACTCTCTCTCCTTTCCACATACACACACTAATGCGTACTTTTACCACCTCTTTTTTCCTCTCTCGTTCTCTCTCTGGAACAGTTTGGAAAGGGCTGATTCGAGTTGAAGTGTTAACACACTCTTCCTCCGGCCATCTGCCAACGCAAACGGTTGATGCCATGTTTGAAATCCCTTCAGCACACTAAATAAATGTTAATCTACCAGCCTCCTGTCCTCCTATCTACTCAACACTTTCCCTCCTCTCCCCACTTGTTCTCATAACTTCCTTTCCTCAACACTCCTTTTTCTCTCTTCCCAATCCCTTTTCATCTGTCTTCTACAATCTCATTTTTCCTTTCTTCCCTTTTCTCACCAATCAACCTCTTTTCACCTCCTTGTTCTTCATTTTACTTTTTCTTTACTCCTTTCCCTCCGTCTATCACCTCCCACTGCACTTTTCTCGACATGTCGTCTCCTTTCACCTCACCCTTTCTCCCTTTTTTGGAAATTTTAACCATATTTTTATCTCCAATTTAAATTCACTTCCCCTTTTCTCTCCCTTCTCTCTTCAATCCAGTCATGTTTTTCTCATTTCATCTTTTTTCACCTTTCCTTTCTTCCTCTCTTTTTCCGTGATTCTATCCAATCTGTTCACCCTCTCTGATCAACATTGACAGTTTATGGGTTGAGGCAAGGCGCAGTAGTGTTTCCTCATTATAGGCATCTGTCTGCTTCTATTTCCTCCTCCCTCCTTTGCACCCTTCTCCTCCGCTTTGCTTCTTTTTCCTTTCTTTTCCCTCTTAGCTCTCAGTTCTACCCATATGGTCATTCATAATTCAACAGAGGCCTTTCTTTAAACTAAAATGCATATGTGCAAAAAGGAGTTGTGTGTACTAGTGCATTATGCAGTGCAGCCTTGCACAGCTTCATTAACAGACCTTAAAATAAAGAGTTATATTTTTTTTAAGCTTTTTGTAACTTTCAGACAAACCTTTAGAGGCTTTGATGATCAGAATGTGGTTTTAGGGTTAAG